TGAAGGCATTGAAGGTGTTCGAGTTGTGCTCAAGCCTCTTCTGGTGCATCTCCTCAAACCAGCCTGCAAGCTGGGGTGACATCCCTAAATCCTAAGCCCTACACCATCAACAGTAATTAAACCCTAAACCCTAGAAAGCCTAAGCCGAAACCCTAATTAAACCCTATGAATAAGCCCTAAACCCTGGAGAACCAAACCCTAAAACCCTAACCCCCTTATTGAACTATAAAAACAGAAACAGAAGAACTGGACAACAAGTATGTCAGAGCGCCTAGGGCTCGCTGCCACTGCCGGCTCTTCTCGCAGGACATGATGCAGGCATGGTAGGTGATGGCATCCCGCCGTAACTCAGTATCGATTTAGACATGCATGCCCTTCAACCACATCCGTACAGCGAAACGACTCATGTACCCAAAGCGAACCAGAACCTCGGTAGCCAATTGAACACTCTAGTGTCCCATAGGGGCCTTAATTGGCGGCAGAAGAGAGCTTCGGGGACATAGCTTTTGTATCTATCTATCTATCTACCTACCTATCTATCTATCTATCTATCTATCTAGCTATCTATCTATCTATCTATCTATGTCTATCTATATACCGTAGCAGATTCATAGTAAGGAGTCCTATAGAGCAATGAACTTCGTCGCCCAGTACCGACTGAGCCTCGCGACCTGGCCACGATTCATGTCCTCCAAGAGATGAAGGACGTGCTGCCACTGGCCAGCTTCATCACATGCCGCCTTTGAGAGTAGGGATCACCTTAACCCCAAAGAACCTACCTCTTTTAAGGACTTATATAAAGAACTCATAATAAGGAACCCTGAAAAGGCAGGTTCTTAAAGGATTAGGCAGGGTTCAGGGTATGGGTTTGAAAGTATAGGGCTTTATAGCTTCATCGCAGGCCGCCTTTGAGAGCATTCAACCCTCTACCCATAGGCCCCTCAGTAGCTCCTTTTCGTGGTGTATATTTAGAATCCTATAAGGTAATCCCCAAAAAGGAACTACTTTGGGGCCTATGGGTAGGGCTCAGGGTTTAGGGTATGGGTTTGAAAGTATAGGGTTTTAGGGTTGGCCAAGCTTCATCACATGCCGCCTTGGAGCACCGGCCCTCACTTCTTATGTGCGTTCTTGCTAAATTTAGTTCAAGTTACCATAATAAGGGTCTGTAGGAGGCAATGAGGTTTCCTTGCTATCGCATGGGAACTTGAACTCCTAATGATGGCATGTCCATCAGCAATGGAGCCCTGCACGGCCAAGCCACCATGCAGGCGTTGTACGTGATGGAGCATCTCTCCACCTCTCCAAATCTTGCCGCAACTCGATCCAGACTCATGTCGTACCGGTCATGATATAAGGGGCCGGCGTCATGGTGTTCCATTTGAGACACGATTGTCAAGGCCAGCTCCCATTCGTGCCCTTTTTCGCAAGCACCTCGTCAAGCCGCAAAAAGCTGAAGCAATATCAGTCATGAGATCACCAGCCACAGTAAGCACTTCACTTACAGTCGCGTTGTAGGTAATGGATGTTTTCTGGATGGTCATACCTGGCTTTGCGAGAAGTCGAATCTGACGAACAATGCCGTCTGCACACTTTGCAGGAGCAGTACACTATGATAGATACAATGGAGCCCGCGTACCCTCCATCTCGCTGAACAGCGCCAGGGCGTGTTGCCACTGGCCCGCTTTCTCGCAAGCACTGGCAAGATCGGGGTCGTGCCAGTCAGAAGGATCAGCAAGCGTGGTGCTCATGAACGTCTCGGCCTGATGCAGGCATTGTACACGATGCACTCCTTGTCCACTTTCTTGCGCGCCAGGAGCTGTCGGCTTGTGGCCAGCCATCGACGGGAAACCTGTGCCCAAGCTTCTCATTCACAAGGTTTAGGGTTTAGGGTTTAGGGTTTAGGATTTCGCTGACATTTGGTCTAGCACTGCACCTTCAGCCGCCCGAGTGTTGGCTTTGACACCACGCGCATTGTCTGCCTGCAGCTAGCTCAGGCATGTTGGACTTTGACCCTGCCCCCCAGTGATACTTCAACTCGACTCAAGCTCGCGCCTAGCAGACCTCTCCACGGTCTGCACTCCCGACGCAAAAGCACCGAGCTCTGCTGCGGAACCATGGCGCTCTCCGGTGCTTCGGAGCCCGCTGACACAAAGAGTTTGATTGTAAACCCTGAACCCTAAGCCTAAGACCCTAAACCATAAACCCCCATACCCCAGATCTCAAACCTTATAAACCCTACAGCCCTAAACCGCGAAGTCTCGTGATCCTTTCGCTCCAGGGGACATTGCATGTCTGCTTCAGTACGAGGGCTGAGTAGAAGCAAATCCACTGCAACCCTAAAACACTAAAAGCCTAAAACCCCAACACCCGAAACCCTGCAAACCCGAAAGCCGTCAAGCCCTAAATCCAGCTGTTGCATAGTCGGTTCATGCCGAAGAAAGTCGAGCTTGTCAGACGTTTCTGCCACGCAGAATGTGGCAGGCATAGCATGTAAAGACAATGCAAGTGCAGTCTGACACACGGCACATTTCCTGCACCACCGCTGCATGCCGTTCGTTTCCGCCGAGGTCCTCACAGCTGCGCGGATCGATGTGCTAGAGACTGCAAGAGAAGCTGGCCAACGATTCTCGCTCGGGCCCGGGCAGCAGAGAGAGCCGAACGGGCTGTCACTTCGATCAGCTCCAGGACATCGGCCAATGGCACTTTGCCTGATGGGCGCCGAGAATACGGACTAAGGAGGCTGGAGACGATGCACTCTCCACCCAGAGAACCTAATACCCCTTAATTAAGGAATATATACCTTAAATTCTAGGGGCCTTAACATTATGATTTAAGGCATATTCCTTAATGAAGGGGTATTGGGTTCTCTATCCAAGGCGCCTCGTTCACATGCTGTGACCGCGTAGCTCAGGCTTACGACATCCTGCCATGAGCAGACTAAGGAAGTCAAAGTTCATCTGTACCGCCTTCATGTTACGAGTCCCTAACCTCCCAGGTACCTACTATACAGGGCCCTAGGGGCTGTAGTACACTATATAGTAGGTATCTGGGGGGTTAGGGAGTCTTCGGGAGTGTCAACTCATTTTGGCGCAGATTGTTGCGGAAGTGGCATGTGTAGAGATATTTCACCAGGTTTCATCGACTCTGTGTGACCGCAGCAGCCTGGAAAGATCTGGAGAGACAAAGGGCGCAGGTGTATAAACAGCCAGAGCATTCGGAGATTTCAAGTTAAGGTTTACAGCACTCACTGCACTCTACCGCTGTTGGTTCTGAGTAACTGGCAAAGCACCGAAAACAATGACTCTAGACCCTAATCCAGACAACCTTAAAGCCCTAAGCCCTAAAGCCCAAACTCCTCGCACCCCAAGCCCTTAAACCCTGAGACCCTGAACCAGGAAACCGTACATCCCTCAACCTCACAGCCCGAAGACCCTGAACCCCTAAGCCAGCAACCTCAATCAATGCCGTAAACCCCACCAAACCTCCAAGACCCTAAGACCCTGAACGGTCAGTTGCTTCCACCTTGGAGACAACAGCCTGCGCCATCTCCTCCACCACACTCAGCGCAGCCTGTGTGGGTTTTGGGTCTTGGGGTTTAGGGTTTAGGGCATTAGGGGCTTTGGGGGGCCTTGGGGGGCCTTGGGGGGCTTTGGGGCTTTAGGGTGTAGGGTTTCAGGGCTTTGGTGTTTGGGGGGTTAGTTCCTTGGTCTTTGGGTTTGACGCGTTTTTTGGGGGCGGGGTTGCTCCTTTTCTCACTGCTGGTAGAAAAGCGAAATTCCGATACCAGGATGAGCCGTCAGGAGGCTGTAGGGTTTGGTTTAGGGTTTCAGCTAGGGTTTAGGGTTTCATTAGGTGGTGTATAGAACGTTAGGTCAATCTGTATCCAAAAGGTCGAGTCCATCGAGTTTAAGGGTTGAGGGCTCCGGGTCTAGGGTCTTGCCAACCTGTATCCAAAGGTCACGCTAGGGTTTAGGGTTTAGGCTTTGTGGTTTAGGGTTTGTAGGCTTTGTGGTTTAGGGTTTAGGGTTTAGAGTTTAGGGTTTAGGCTTTGTGGTTTAGGGTTTAGGGTGTGGGCATGTCTTTGAGGCGGCTTCGGAATGGAATCGAGGCATGTTCAGGGCCTTTTTGACCGTCGGGCCCCGGAACATGCATCTGCTGCGGCGTCGATTTCTACCTCTAAGGTAACTCTAGACTGGAAATCGTATAGTGCTGGACTCACCCCCAAACCTTCAGGCCTCCCATTCGTCCCGGCAGGCTGCCACTGACGATGAAAAGGACAGCACATCCTTCTGACAAGCTGCACAAGCTTGAAGTGCACGGAGTGAACGTTGAAGCAGCGGCCGCAAGGAAAGCTATGCAACCACCAGCACTCCAGAGAATGGACGAAGCAGCAGTTGTCCGGCAAGCTACCCCAATGGGGTCGAGAATTCTGAAAGTGGAGCAAGCTTGGTGCCTCTGCTAGGTTCAAGTCCGGCAAAGTACTCTGCGATTCGGGTCCCCGGCCACGCACATGTAGGGAAAATATATGGATCTCACAATTCAGGTGTTTCTGGAATCCCCCTCATAGGCACTCGAAAAAACCTCAAAACTAGGATGCTCATGTTTAGGTGTCCTTTCGAGTCCCTAACATGGGGAAGGGCAGCAACGATCGTTCCAAGCGTTGTTGGTGCACAGCGAAACCTAGCACTGCGGCTTGAATACCAGACGGAAGCAAGCCCCTCCTCCCATCTCCCCATTTGCGTAATAAGTTTACACTTCCAGGTACCTACTACCTTAAGGACGACATGACCCTTAAAAGTAGGGGCCCTATACCCTTATACTATGAATCCCTATATGGTACATGAACCCTAAACCCTTTTAGGGTCCTTGTCGTCCTTAAGGTATATAGGGTACTAGAGCCCCTAGGGCCATATATAGTAGGTACCTGGGAGGTTAGGGTAAGTCTACACTTCCGTGATACCGACAGCTTTCTGGTCCTGCTGGACCCGAACAGCTCGAAGCTCATGCAGAAGCTCCAGCCTGTTCACGGTGTATAGGGTTTATAGGATTTAGGGGTTTGGGGTTTATAGGATTTAGGGGTTTGGGGGTTATAGGATTTAGGGGTTTGGGGGTTATAGGATTTAGGGGTTTGGGGGTTGTAGCCTTCTGGGATTAAGAAGAGAGCTGGGAAGCTGCTCTATCGACGCCGCAGAGATGAGCCCCCGGCGCCCCAGACCACCGTGAGCCGTCGGATGCAGCTGTAACGGCAGAGTTGTGTATCAAATCACCTCATTGTTCAGAGCAAAAGCACGACACAGAACGTTTCAAGCCCAAGGTAACGGCTGCACTCCCGTCGTCTCGCTATGAGCTGCTTGCTCGTCAAGCGACCCTTGTCGTCAATATGTGCAATAGATACATGATATGAAAGACATGTAATGTTCACCCCCTTAGTAATAGCATTACTACTAGTTACTAGTGCTGCTGCTCACCGATACGACCACTACTAGGACCCTCATGACCACGAACCCTTAAACCCCTGTTTGCCCTGAACCCTAAACCCTATAAACCCTAAACCTTAAACCTTTAAACCCCTAAACCCCTGAACCCTAAACCGTATAAACCCTAAACCCTAAACCTTAAACCCTTAAACCCCTGAACGGATTTCGGGGTTTAGGTGCTGCTCCTGAGGCAGGGACTCCTTCGAAGCTGACATTCCTGGAGCTCCTTTCCGTGACACCGAGCAGGGTCACAAGGTCCCTTGAATCATTTAAGGCTTTAGGGCTTAGGGCATTTAAGGCTTAGTTTTGTTTATACAGGGGGTTTAGGTTCAATCCGATGACTTCTAATCTGGAGGATGACGGACTTTAATAAAGGTTGCACGTACCTTAAGCTGGGATTATCAATCACTACAACTATAATTTGCTTGATGTACTGAATTGCTTTTTTTTAATGCTTACATCCCAGGAACGAAATTATCTAGCATACAGACTCTTGCGGAGCAGCGGGGTGCCTACAAGTCTCGTATTCCTCGCTTTACAACTTTACAACCATAAAACTTTTGAGTTGCGAGGAGGCCCCAAGGCTTAGCTGTGTCAGTAGTCTATGGGGAAGAGGGTGGAGGACTGGGCGGAGCAAGCTGTTAAAGCATGTTCACGCTGTTGGAACTAGTGCGTCGAACTATCGGCACGGCGCAGTATCTGCTTGAAGGGTTTATTTAGGGCCAGGGCTTACCTAGACCCCCAAGAACCTACCTTTTTGAGGACTTATGTAAGAAAATCATAATAAGGAACACTAGAAAGGGAGGTTCTTAAGGGTTTAGGGCTTAGGGTTTAGGGAATGTACGGACCGGACGGGAGGGGATGCTCACTGGAAGGGGTGGGTCGTTCTACCCGGGCCCTGACACCGGCAACTGACAAACTAGATCCGCAGGGCTCGGCCATCTGCCAATGTATATAGGTAGTTCTCTAAATTAGGGTCCCCTTTAGGGTCCTTTTTATAAGGCTGCCGTACTAGATTGAGTACCTAGAAAGGGACCCTAGTTTAGAGACCTACCCATATGAGAATGGGTGCCCATGTCCATGCACATGAAAGCATAGACCAACGACTCGTCGCCAGTATAAGCATATAAGCAACTGTTTGAAACAACAATGTAGTATATAAGAGTCGTCGAAAACAAGGTCCACCGGAAGGACCCGGACTTTCAAGACCATGGTAAGTGATCCTTCAGTGTGACACTTTCCCTGTTTGCAAAACATCTCGAACCCTAAACCCTAAACCCCTAAGTCCTAAACCCTAAACCCCTAAACCCTAAACCCTACACCCCTAAGTCCTGGAAGAGTCGGAGCACCATGCTCCACTTGGACCACTCCGCGCAGGCTCCAATCGCAGCTCCCAGGGTCAAGGTACCAGGCACCTGCATAGCGCTGGACTCAGTGAACACAGAAAACCCCTAAACCCTAAACCCTTCATCAAGAAGACAACAAAGTGGGTAGTGTGATTGTCGAACGACAAGAAGACCAAAATGAGCCTGAACAGTGCTAGAGTATGTTTTCGGAATCATGCACCAGCAAAAAAAAGGCAATCATGACAACAATACTACTAATGATCATGATCCTGTCAAGGCTTAAAGTACGAATACCCTAAACCCCCCAGGTACCTACTATATAGGGTACTGAAGCCCCTAGGGCCCTATATAGTAGGTACCTGGGAGGCTAGGGTAATAGCAGCATTGATACATTCGTGATCAGTCTGTTGACGATCCTTACAAGCCCGGGCCCGACGTTACAGCCTTACGGGGTTCTTGTTGAAGAGATTTGTATTTAAGTGACCATAATAGGGATCTATAATAAACAATTTGGTTTCTATCTTGTTAAGGGGATTCTATTTAAGTTACCATAATAGGGATCTATAATAAACAATATGGTTTCTATGTTATGGTAGCTTAAAATGAACAAGAACCCAGCGTTAGCTGCGCCAAGCTACGAGGAAGCCGGCTGCCATCTCGCACATCAGGCCTCGTGACTCCCTAAGCCCTACGAAAAAACCCCAAATAACCTACCCTTTTTAGGGCTCCTTATTATGAATTCTTTATAAAAGTCCTGAAAAAGGTAGGTTATTTGGGGTTAAGGTAAACCCTAAAGCCTAAACCCTAAAACCCTAAAGCCCTAAAGCCCTAAGCCCTAAACCCTAACACCCTAAACCCCTCGGGTACAGGGATTGGGGTTCGGGCTCAGGCTCAGGGTTCAGAGGTTATGAGGGTTGATGGCCCGAGGTTTGTCGGGTTTTTAGGGCTTGCGGCAATGGGTTTAAGGCGTTGCTCTTTCGGAGTTAGGGGCTCAGGGTTACTAGAAGGGTCTATAGGGATTAGATTGGGGTTACTTTCAAGGTTACTAACTTTTTTGGATTTACTGCACATTTTGGAGCCCGCGTCGGCCTGCAGACAGCTGCCACTGCCCCTGACTGGCTGCGATGGCGGTATTGAGAACAACTCTGTTGAGCCGCAGCGATAACGCAGCAGAGTGCTTCCAGCACAGCGGAAGTATCCGATGGCTCTCAGACATTTTAGGGTTTAGGGTTTAGACTTCCTGGATTCCTAAGCCCTAAACCCTCAACCCTTAACCCTGAAACCCTAAACCCTACACCCTCAACCTTTAACCCTGAAGCCCTAAACCCTAAACCCTGAAACCCTAAACCACCAAAACTGCATGGACTGCCACGGACAGCTGGGGCACAGCAGGCCCACGGCCCAATGCCAGTCTCCAGAGGCTTGGCATCCGCTCATAGCAGCCCCTTAGGGCTTAGGGTTTAGGGATTTGGGGTTTAGGGTTTAGGGTCAGGGTTTAGGGTGTGGGTTCAGCCTGGCACTCGAGGAAACTGAGTTGTACGGCTGATGATAGAAATCCTGCATTACCCATACTAAGGAATTTATACCCATAATTCCTATAGTTTAGGGTCCTTAAGGTAACGCCGGATTTATATCATCAACAGTAGTTAAGGAGTTTGATTTAAGTTCCCATAATCATTGTTATGATAACTTACCATAAATCCCTGAACAAGGCTATCATGGGATATTTCGACAAGCACTGTCTTTTTGGCGGGGCACCAATCGTCACGATGTCTCCGGAGATGGACCGCAATGCCACCGACTGAGACAAGCCGAGGGCTGCATCCCACCGCCCGGACTTCTCGCAAGCGCTGATGGCGGCCTCCAGCTGGCTGGAAGTGGACAGGTTACAGGGCTCTCAGGACATCTCCGGAGCCTTCAGGTTTATAGGCTTAGCAGATTCAGGGTTGAATTTAATTAGGCACTGCAGGCCAAGAGGCATTGAAAGAGACCAGGCTCTGTTGAATTCGACGAACCCGGATCCGACCAAGCAGATCCAGTGCTGGCCGCCAGCATGACGCCTTCTCACCAGCGCTTACGACGGAATTGAAGGAGATGATGTCCAGCAGCGTCCATGACTGGCCGGCATTCCTCAACTCCCATATGCCGAACCCTTCCAGTTGCCCTCATAATAATCCTCAGCCCACAGACATCACCTAAACCCAACAAACGCCCAAGACGGATGCCAAGAAAGTTGACTCCTAAACCCTAAACCCTCACAGTGAGAGATTGACAATTGCAAAGGAAAGCCGGATGCCATCCAAAAAGGTTGGAGAAGAAGTGCCTAAGGCTGGAAAAAGCCCGAGGAGCTGCAGAAACGTCAAAGCTGAAACCCACTGCCCTGTCTCCTCATACGAGGAGGCCATCGCATTGTAGATCACAGAATTCGGCTGAACCTCAAGAATTCAAGAATCGATGCAAGCGACTCACGAACACTGGAACAGCGGACACCCGAGTAGCGGATCAACCGAGTAGCGCGCCCTTCGACTTTGCATAGCACCGAAAATTGCAAGTGCCTCCTTCCAGACGACACATGCGCTGATCAGCGATCCAGCGATGATCGCATTCACTGAAATCGCAGCTAAAGCCAAACTCCCAAGAAGCGACAGGGCTGAAGACCATTCTTGCGCTTGCTGACACGCATTGATGACACTTCCATAGTTGACGACATCCGGAAGAATCCGTCGCTGCTTCATGTCAGCCCCCTGGCCGACTGACTGCTTCCATCTCTGGCCAACTCCGATGGCTGCAGTGCTGTATGTGATGGAATCCGGACAGATCCCAACTCTGTCCATCCACAGAAGCAGGCAGCAGGCGGCCTCCCATGCCAGTGCTCTGCCAGAAGCCTTCAATGCAATGCTGAAGCTGCGCTGATCATGCTGCACACCGGCTCTTAACACAGACAGCACAGATACTGCCAACTCCCAATCGCTTGTGTCCACGCTTTCCCGCAGCAAAGCTATTGCCTTCATGTGGGGCCTCTCCACTCTACTCGCACAGGCCATGCACACCATCATGCAAAACGGCTACCATGAAATTCGTCACGTCCTTCGGGCATCTTCGAGCCAATGCTGCAGGCTGGCAGATTTGCAGCTACTCCTCTGAAAGACACCGGCCCAGCCACCTCGAAGTTGCAAGCAAGACGTGGATCCAAGATTCTGAATGCTAGATCTCTGCCTCAAAGCCTGGGGCTTTGGTAGCAAATGGTAGTTTTCGGAAGAGGCAGAGAGATGCGGGTCTGTCGTAAACCAAGAAAAGCTGCAGGACGACAACGCAAATCGGAGTCAGTCGCAAAGGGGTGTGTTTTAAGGTATGGTACTCTAGCCTGCCACTTTGAGCGTGAGGTCATGAAGGAATTCCTTGCTAGCGAGCCACTTAGTTTTGGCTTGATGTGCAAAGGTGTCGAACGTCAGGCTTCTCATTCAAAACTGACAATGAAAAGTGCACCATTTGCACAGGCGCTAGTCGACGAAACAGCTCCGGCATTCACCAGGAAGCTCGTGGTGGGTCAAGTGTCTCACATCGCTTGCCGATGTTTACTCGAAGTATCGGAACTTGGCGATGATTAGCACTATTTTGCCTCAGATGGCCAAGCGCAGTGGCTGCCAAGATCAGAAAGCCCCTCTTAATGCTCATCCAAGATACCAGTCGCTCGTCCAAGTTGTTCTCTTTCCTGCACAGGCATGCCGCCGAGTCTTCTTTGTAACTTCATACCCTCACACTGCCAGCCAAAACCGGACCGCCAGCCTAAGGATACGCACAGCGGCACGTCTTTAGACTTCGCTACTGCCATTCAACATAAGCCGGCCTCGCGTACGGTTGCCATCATACCGTTGATGGATATGAGTCTGTCGTAGATGCAAACCATGGAATCGGAGGCACAGATCTGGTTCCATTCCTGGTCTAGAACTCAAACCAACCTATAGTCTCCATTGTAGTTCCTTTTTGGGGTTACCTTATAAGATCCTAACTACAAAACTGGTTAAACCAAAAAAAGGAACTACAATGGAGACTCTAGGAATAATAGCAATCAGAACCATAATGGCGATGGCAACAATCCTAACGATGATATCTTCGCACTGGCTACATCGGTTGGCTGCAGCGGTCACTCGTGTCGGAATTGATGTGTGAAGTCACAGAGATCTGAATTGGACAACTCCCATAACATCCTTTCTCCGCCAGACCTGACGCGAAAGACACCACAGAAACGAACAACAAAACCTTAAACAGCAGATGATGGAAAAAATACAACTACTTTGCACAATGCGAGCCTCAGGCCAAAAGCAAGGCAGACCAACACGATGCGACATCAACGCACGGAGAGGCTGTAAGGCAGATAGGAGCGGTGCCACACGAGGGCGGGGACAGAAGAAGCGTCATGGCGAAGCCAAGCTGGAAGAAAACATGAGACACTAAGGTGCCACGGCAGGCGTCAACAGTCTTGTAGCACAATGTGGGCGGGCGGGGGGCGCGGCATAGTTGGGCTGCAGATACAGATGAGACAAGCAAGACTGTCCCGGAAAGATAGGAAGATAGAGACATGCATGGATGGATGGATGGATGCATGCATGCATGGATGGATAAATAGATGGATGCACAGATGGATTGATAATTAGATGGGTAGATAGCTGGACAGGTAGATGCATAGACAGATATTAGTTAGATAGTCAGACAAATCCATACATGGATACCTAGGCAGATCGACAGAGAGACAGTCACATAGATACACAGACGGATTTATACGCAAATGTACAGGTGGATAGGTAGGTAGGTATAGGCAGATATGTAAGTAGATAGATGGAAAAGTAGCCGGAGCGCTAGCTAGTTGGATAAGAGAAGGACCAGACCCATGTACGACCTTTCGATACAACAGTGAGGAAGTTAAGTTATGATGACGGACTACGGGTGATTGTCTCATTTCACATATATACCCTAACACCCCAGGTACCTACTATATGGGGTACTAGAGCCCCTAGGGCCCTATATAGTAGATACCTGGGAGGTTAGGGTATAGGTACCAAGAAAACACTGCACCCTCCCAGAGACCAAGTCTCGTGGATCAGACTGCGCCGTCGAACTTTCAGGACTCGGCACTTCCGGTCAGAGAACGAAAGCCTGGGTTGTTAAAGAGCTTAGTTTAGTGACCATCACTTGAGGACCATACTAGAGTTTGGGGTATAGGGTTTAGGATTTAGGACTTGGAGTTTAGGGTTTAGGGTTTAGGATTTGGCGTTTAGGGTTTAGGGCTCAGGGACTAAAACAAACCTTAAACCCAGCAGCTCAAGGCCCAGGTCCTCGTCCTTGCGCTGGATGGTGACCACGTATGGCGCAGCTTCCTGCTTGGCTTGGACACATCTTATGCCTTTTGGGGGGGCCACTAGGATTTGCAGGGCTTATGGTTTATTCTGGCGGTTTTTGCTACAAACTGCTAGAACCAGTTTTTGCACTACGCTGAAAGCTAGCGCGACATCTCCGACTCTTATGCGCAACCCTCTTTGTGCTGGAAGGGAAGGAGGCACAGGCTGAACATCTGAGCTGCTCACAAACAGACACAAAGACCTTGCAAACAACTCTTTCGTTTCGTTGCATACAAATATTCTCGATGTAATGCATCCACAAAGACACGTTGAATTCATTCTGGTGCTTGCAGTTGCCCTAAACCCTAAAGCCTAAACTCTGAACCCGAAAACTCAAGCCCTGAAGCCTACACTACGCGCTGCAGTGCAAGGCTGGGACCCGGCTCTCGCATCCTTCCACTCGTTATATTCTAGTCTTTCCTATTCCATTATGCTACCCTATGCCATGTTGCACTATGTTCTAAATGGTATACTGTATTGACCATTATATGTTTACAAAGTTACAAGACATAATTTGTATATATATATATGTATATCTATATACATACATATACACACATGCTCGCAAGACATGCTACAGAATGTACTGTGAGCTAGCCTACGGCTGCACCGTGTCAAAGACCGGGAAGGTTCTTTTGAAACTCCTTGCACATGCTTGCCTTTTTTGCAGAACCTTCGCACCTCTTAGGGAAACGCGAAACCCTGAACCCCCCAAAAGCTCTAAACCTGAAAACCCTAAACCCGAAAAATCCCAAAAAACCCTAAACCATAAACCCTAATCAAACCAATCAAGCCCTAAAAGCCCTGAAACCTACAAACCCTAAACCTCAATCAAACCCTAATGAAACCCTAAAAACCCTAAACACCCGAAACGCCCCAAAACCCTGAAAACCCTTACAAAACCCTAGAAACCCTAAATACCCTAAAGCCCTGAAAACCCTAAAACCCTAAAAACCTTTAAAACCCTAAACACCCTAAATACCCTAAAACCCTGAAAACCTTAAAAAAACAAAAGACCCAAACAGCCCTAAAAACCCTAAATACCCTAAAACCCTGAAAACCCTAAAACCCTAAAAACCTTTAAAACCCTAAACACCCTAAATACCCTAAAACCCTGAAAACCTTAAAACAAAAACCAAAAGACCCAACCAACCCTAAAAACGCTAAATACCTTAAAACCCTGAAAACCCTGAACAAAAACCCTAAACAAATCCTGAAGGCCGGTCCTCTCCCAGCACAGCGCCGGAGCCCCCGAACTCGGCCGGGGAGTCCTTGAACTTAGCCATGCCGTCCCTGACGGACCTCGGTTTGTAGCCAAGGCCACCAGCCGTTTTAGGTATTATAAAATATACTATAGGTTTAGGGTTTAGGGTTTATAACACATAACATACAGTATGCAGACTCTATATCATAGAAAAGTTTTTCTTAATAGATGATACAGATTAGCCAGTTTGTAATAGATCTTCATGCAGGCCCTCGATCAGGGGCATCAGTCTCTGCTGGAGAGGCACAGCACGCGCTGTCCATAGTTCCAATGGCCTTGAAGTCGGGGAGGGGAGTTCAAGATACCGCCGCAGATTTGCAACAGGCCAGGTGTTTTGGCGCAATGGGTGGAAGCAATGCAGGCCAAGCACTTGGCACAGTTTCTGCGGCCATCGCTTGTGGTCTTCAAGTCCCCGGCTATCTGGACCAAAGCTTCCTTATGGACGAAATGTTCTCCAATAGAGGCTTCAGGTTCAAATAAGATGTGATAGGGATTCATCGTATACAAGGGTATAAGGGGTCCATGCTTTTAAGGATCATTTGGTCTCCAAGGTTCGTCGAAGATCACTGCAAAGTGGCCGCTGCTTCCAGTCCATTTTTGGCACTCCAGGCAGTGGCAGAAAGCAGTCATCTCCGGCTCTCCGCTTACTGCTACGATCACCGATCCACAGAGACACTTCCCATGGAAAGCCTGCGTGACATCTGGATGTAAATCCCAGGACTCGGCCCGAACCCCCGAGCCCCCGAGGGAAGCTGGGAAGTCGACGAACTTTGGCACCTCGTCCCCGAAGTCGATGAGAGGTGTCACGTAGAAGAAGTGCGCACTCAGAGATATCGATATCCCCGCAGATCCCACGCAGACCTCAACCAAACCCGCCCGTGGGAGGCTGGTCAAGATGTGCGAATGGCATTTGGCGCAGCTCTTCCGCACCCTCAGGGATAAGGGGAACAAGGGGTTCTACAAGGGTTCTACAATGTCTACTACGAGTGGTAGTATAAGTAGGCTTATGAGGGCTATTGTACCACAAAAGCTCTCGAAGACAAACCCTTCACGAAGCACGAAACCCTGTCCTCGCTCAACAGCGCAACATCTCACGTTATCTTATCACTAGCACCTGCAGCTCTTTTGACAGCCGGAACACCTGATGGACTAACATAATGCAGTACTTATATTCGTGTAGTAACGTATAGTGTACAAGGACTACACCATAGTATAATGCAGTATAAGAAACTTCATAAATCCTGCGCCTTAAACCCTAAAAATTAAAACCCCTAGAGTCTAAACCCTAAAGCCCTGAAGGCCCTAAGCCCTAAACACCCAAATAAAAGGCCGTGGCTAGGCCAGTCCTCGATCCGGCTTTGAACTCCAGCAGCTGCCCACTGCAAATCACATCCTGGGCTTCTTGCTAGGGATTTAGATTTTAGGGTGTAGGGTTTAGAATTTGGGTAGTTCTCTAAAATGGGGTCCCTTTTAGGGTCCCTTTTTTTAAGCGTTAAGGGATTTGGAGTTTAGAGTTGAATTTAGGGTTCCTCAGTGCTAGGCAAGTTCTCTAAATTAGGGTAGCTTTCAGGGTCCTTTTCATGATGGTGCCGTACTATATTGGGGAACTCAATGGGATCCTAATTTTAGAGACTACCCACTAAAGAAACCCGACTCTTTACAATAGATCCCCCCCTAAACCCAGCGTCTTCTCTCCGGTACCAGATCGCCATCTGCCCAACACTTCCCGTCCACTTGCGGCAGTCCTTCAAGGGCCCAGGGTTCAGGGCTTAGCGATTTAGGGGTGGGGTTGAGGGATGTGTAGAGTTCAGGGTAAGATCGGAATCCATGCGCATGAGATCGGAATTCATCGCAGAAGCTGGCAACTAATGTAGGGGCCGTAATAATTAGCAGAGGGTTTTGGGGGGTTCCTTATTGTAATTTTTTAGTAGAATATACCCCAAACCCCATTCTGATCATTAAAGCGCTCTGTTAGACTGGGCCCAAGATCCTCACAGTGGCACAGCGTGGTCTTCAGCGGGGCGCTAAGGGCCGTCACGGAGACGAGCCCGCAAACGCAGGACCATCCTTGCAGGGTGGAAGAGCGAACCCACCGAAAAGCAGGAAATGCATACGTAAGTAATAACCCTAATAGATAGTTAGTCACGATAATTGTCTTATTGTATTGGTGTTATTTGGTTGTTCTTCTTCTTATAACTAAGACAGTATTTCTGTTAGAGTTATTAGTATGATTGTTAATGCGAATAATGCGTGCCAAGGTCGACGGTTGTTCTCAAGATCCGCACATCTCTGTGCTGACTCGCCTGTTAGCGCAATAGCGCAGTTGTGTGCTGCTGTCATGCCCTAACCTCCCAGGTACCTACTATATAAGGCCCGAGGGGCTCTAGTACCCTATATAGTAGGTATTTGGGGGGTCAGGGCGAAGAAGAACATGATGACGATGTTCGGGAGGAGGAAGAGCAGGAGGCGGAGGGTGATGATGAAATGATGATGATCCCTAACCGCCCAGGTACCTACGATATAGGGTACTAGAGCCCCTAGGGCCCTATAAAGTAGGTACCTGGGAGGTTAGGGGATGATGGAGGACACGATGCGGACAATGACGATGACGACGATGGCGATGAAGATGATGAATGTGATGCTGATGCTGCGGCTGATGATGGTGATGATGATTGCCATGGCGATTGTCATGCTCATGCTGGTGATGATCACGACCATATTGGCGATGATTAGAAGTCGCCTCTCGTTCCCTCACGAGGGGTCTGCACATGGTCAGTCGTGCAGGAGCAGAAGAGCATGGCATGCTTCGCAGGGCTGCGTGTCGAAAGGCAGCAGCGGCTAAGGCTACAACAGCTTAGGAAGACAGCAGTTTGCCACTTTCGCACAAGTCTTCGGCTTGAAAACCTGGCAAGTCTTAAGGACGAAATGTACCCTAAAAGTGCTCCAGGTTCAAACAATGTGATAGGGACAAATAGTGGTAGGGTATAATTAAGGCCCTTACTTCTAAGGATCATGTGGTCCCCAACGAGTCTGTTGCTGATTCATGACTAGTTTCCACCTCGAGGCATCTTCTACTGCTCAAGGCTAAGGGCCAAAAGCCTGCGGTGACTTGGATGTACAATAAAATAGATGATCATACTATACTATACTATGCTATACTACACTATACTGTACTATAAGATAATATACTACTACACAGTGCCGCTTCGATCCCAAGTTCGGTGTCCAAGGGACACACGGAGTTTGCCAGACGCACACACGCGGCCCTTTGTTCATGAGCGCAGCAGCTGCAGAATCGATTGTGCCTTGAGCCATCTTGCTATCTTTGAGAAGGGCAGGCATCCCATTCCTCGGATGGAAGTGAAATGTAAGTTCTGCGAGGTGAAACACTTGATGACGAGGTTCGTTAACAGAGACACAGCCTCATCTGGCTGGCCAGACATAAGTCCCGGCCAAGCCAGGATTTGCGGGCAAGACCTGCAAATGCCCTGGAATGGCACAAGAGTGGCAAACCACAACAAGAAGAAGGCCGCGCGACATGCTATGTACATCTGAGTTTTGAGGCCCTCATGGGTACAGGTGGGCGTCGACGAAGCCTGAGGCAACAGCTCCATGGCTCATCTTTGACAGAGGCAAGCGATATTCAGACAGCACAATCGCGGCCTACGTCCCAACTCTTCCCAAATTCGTTGTCAGGGAGTCTAAACCCTAAACCCAAATCTAAGATCCCAGCGGAGGGCAGCAAGTGTTTTCAAGATTTCGGCTTCCTCTCGACCAGGTCGGCGCCTGAAAGACACGGGCATCTCCAAAAACAATCAGAATTATTACCGCCATGCTCATCCTCGCCATCATAACCATAAGACTACTCCCAAGACTACCCACCAACCCACCACCCTAACATTCATGACATGTATAAATGACAAGAACAGCAGAAATCACAAGATTTACATATAATAGTGGTACTAATAATGAAAACAACTAGCACCATTGATTAATCATAATCCAAATGCTATCAAAAAAAGGAAAAATGGAGACTAACATGGAGGCTATTAGTCTTACTACCAGTAGAGCTATTTCTATCTAACGGCAAAACTGATATACTAAATTGAAAATTACAACGATAAACCCTAAACCCCTAGACCGTATACATGAATAAAGAGACTGGCCAGTGACCCTCTCAGTTTGGCCGGGCGGCTCGGGCACTGACAACTTCGGCCCAAAGTCCTCTGCATTTGTATGGATGCTTGTAGGCATACATTAGTATTATTATTATTAGTATTATTATGATTAGTATTATTATTATTATATATGTATGTATGTATGTATGTATGTATGTATGTATGTATGTATGTACGTATGTATGCATGCATATATATATACACACATACACACACACAGAGCGAGACACAGACACACACATGTATGTATATATATTAATATATATTAATATATATATATATATGTATATGTGTATCTTCATGTGTACACATACATGTATATGTATACATAGCGTGTTGTTGCTTGGTGTATTGGTTGCTTGATGCGTGTTGAATTATAGCCGTCTTGCTCTTTACGTGTTCCTAAATACCTAACGACCTACATACCCACCTGCCTGCCTAGCCATGTTTTTGATCTTTCTATGTATCCATCCATCCATCTATCTACCCGTAACATATTTATACATAACCTATATATATATATGTGTATTAATATGTATATATAGAATGACATACTATGCTATACTGTACTAAACTATACTATACTACAATATACTACACTATAGTATACTTCGGTATACTATATTATGAACATACTATAATGCAGTCAGAGCGTAGTATAGTATAGTGTAATATAGTCAGATGGAATCTGGTACAACATGGTGTACTGTGATGTTACAAAACATCATATAATATGATATGAGAATAAACAACTATGAATATACATAAATGTATACAAGCATGAAGCACGTAAAACAAATAATTAAACAAAGACACATCACCATAAATAAATGTATAACAAACACAGCAAATACACACCAGTAGACAGATAAATAAATAAATTCACACACAAAACATATGTGTGTGTATATATATAGTTTATATAGTATGTGTGTGTGTATATATATATATGTAAGCAGTCCTGCACCGGCTGGACCACCCTTTGGCTTGGAGCCGCCACCTGCGAGAAGCGGCTGGGCCGTTCCGTTAAAGGGGTCCGTGTTTTAGGGCTATACACTTTTAAACTTTTGGGGTTTAGGATTTAGGGGTTGGGGTTTAGGGTTTAGGGCTTAGGGTTTAGGAGCTTTAGGCTGAACTGAAGGTGTCGCTGGTAGAAGGGCGCTAGGGTTCCTTTACAGGGTCCTTGTATAAGGGCTATATACTACCAGGGAACTATTATGGGGCTCCTTTAAAAGATCCTTGTATAAGGGCCATATACTATAAGGGGTGGTATGGCGGTTTAAGTACATGGGCTTTATCCGTTAGACTAGGGTTCCTCAGGGTCGTTATAGTACAGGTTACATACTACAACGGGCATGATAAGGGTTGGTATGGGAGCCTAATAACTGCAATAGGGTTGCTTTGAAAGGTCCTTATGAAAGGGTAAATGATGACAAGGGAAATGATGGGAGCTTTGTGTAGGGGCCTTGATGATTAGAGTAGTTTTGGGTACTCATCAGGAACTCTGAGAAGATGTTGGTCATCACATAAATTTCTGTAGTAGTGCGGGTCCCATGCGCGAAGGATTGATACACTTGGACACGCCTTTAAGCCCCAGAAACGAAAGGCCGCAAGGTTCTTGCTTCCTTATTTGAGCCAGCTTTCTGCTCACTGGCCTTCATTGTCATGCAGCAATATAAGCAGAAGTCGGTTGGTCTGGTCCGCGCCTCTGGCTTCGCCTGTTCCATCTCTTCTGTCTCACGGGCCGCAGTCTTCGAGGCCTCGAACTCGGCTTTGCACTTCTCCAGTTCGCTTAACTCGCGTTTCATCTCCTTCAGCTCGGCGCTGGGCTTTGGCGCCTGAGACCGCAACAAAAACAAGGATGCGCACAGTCCGGGCCTGGCGTGCTTTCGGTGGCCTCACTTCTTGCGCTGCGCTTGAGCTCGGCCACCTGACGAATGCGAACACGCCAAGTCCAGGCATCCCAAAGATCCTGCAACAGACGGTAAACCCTAAACCCTGAACTCCCGAAATCCTAAACCCTCAACCCTGAAGAGTCCCTAAACCCGAATAATGAAGCAAGCCCAAACCCTCCAGGTACCTACTATATAGGGCCTTAGGGGCTCTAGTACCCTTTTTTGTAGGTACCTGGGAGGTTAGGGAATGGCAAGGACACCTCAGCCTTGAAGCGTTCGGCATCAGCAGCGGCTTTCCGCATCGAGGAGACCTCTCCCTGCACGGTGCGGAGTTCCTGAAAACAGCGGCTGGAACTCAGTGAACTGTTAGGGCTGAGGGTTTTAGGGTTTAGGGCTTAGGGTTCTAGCCTTACCCATAGACCCCTAAGTAGTTCCTTTTATGGTTTATATTTAGAATCCTATAAGGTACTCCCAAAAAGGAACTGCTTGGGGCCTATGGTACCCTAACCCCCCAGGTACCTACTATATAGGGCCCTAGGGGCTCTAGTACCATATATAGTAGGTACCTGAGGGGTTAGGGTTAGAGTACCTGCACCATAACCATCTTACAGCACCCTGATAACAACCCTTTTATAGTTCCCTCATGACAACAACCCTGAACCCTAAACCCTGTAAAACCCCTAAACCCTAAGCTTGTTATAGCACCCTGATGATAAGAACCGTATCGCGCGATCCGGCCTTGACGGACTGCAGGACTTTGGCAATTCCGCCATGCGGCTTCAGCTTACCATGGAGGTCTTGCAACTCGGCTTCCTTCCGGGTGCCGTCTCTTCATAGTGCTGGTAATAGTAAATAGTATAAATGGTAATACTAATATGGGAATAGTAGCAATAGCATGAATAGTATGTAGTCAGATGCGCTGTACTGTTCTGCCGTGCCTTGTCAAGCAGAGAAGCTTTATCGCCCAAAGCTGCCTTCAAGGAAGCAATCTCCTGCCCAGAAGAACAGGGTTCAGGGCTTTGAGTGACTTACCCTAACCTCCCAGGTACCTACTATATAGGGCCCTAGGGGCTCTAGTACCCTATATAGTAGGTACCTGGGGGGTTAGACTTACGCAGGTGACTGCTCCGGAACTTTGCAGGCCGTCCTGGCGCTGTGTTTGCAGCTTTCCTGTCCGGAAGTGCCCGCGACCCACTGAAGCTCCGATCAGGGTGAATGCTGGCTTCATGTCCTTCTACTCTTCACCACGAGGACCCCTGGGGCTCTAGGTATTTCAGGTAGCGGGCAAAAAAAACCCTGCAAATTCCATCTAAAGCGATTGAAACTTAAGGGCCCCTTTCCCACCCAGACTACGAATGCCTACATGGTATCTGAACCCTCAACCCTTTTCGGGTAGTCCTGAAGGTATAGTAACCCTTCTAGAAAGCCACTAGTTCCCTAAAACCTCACCCCCTAAACCCTAATGTAGGGGCCTTAATAATTAGAATAAGGCTTTGGGGTATATCATGCTAAAATTCTATTTCCTTAAAAATAGTATAGGTAATGTGTATTGTACTTTTAATCTTATTATAAGGAACCCCCAAAATAGTATAAGTAATTATCATTGTACTATGATTATAAGAAGGAAGCACCAGAATGGTATAGGTATTCATTACTGTATTTTAATGATATAGGTAGTTGAGGTCATACTGTGATTATGATAAGGAACACCACCAAGAATAGTGTAGGTCAGAAATTCCTATGTTATAGTAATAATCAGGAACCTCCACAATAATTAGTTTAGGCAATGATTAATTAAGGCCTCTGTTTTTAAAACCCTAAACCCTAACCTCCCAGGTACCTACTTTATAGGGCCCTAGGGGCTCTAGTACCCTATATCGTAGGTACCGGGGGGGTTAGGGTAAACCTTAGCCTAGGAGGAGAGCCACTTGATCCTCCAGGTCCCAGGTCCCGGGGGGCCTTCCAACTCGCTGTGTCGCCTGCGCTCAGGAAGCTAGAGTTTAGGGTTCAGAGTTTAGGGTTTAGAGTTTAGGGTTCAGGGTTCAGAGTTTAGGGTCGAGGGTTCAGGGTCTAGGGTTTAGGGTCGAGGGTTTAGGGTCGAGAGTTTAGGGTCTAGGGTTTAGGGTCGAGGGTTCAGGGTCGAGGGTTCAGGGTCGAGGGTTTAGGGTCTAGGGTTCAGGGTTTAGGGTTCAGGGTCGAGGGTTTAGGGTCGAGGGTTTAGGGTCTAGGGTTTAGGGTCGAGGGTTTAGGGTCGAGGGTTTAGGG